CATCAGCGTTTTCTGCACCATCCTTTTGTTCTTATATATGACGTGCAGCAAGTGCCCAGAACACAAGGCCATGTTGGACGGTTCAACGTGAGACGCAACACATTCACGCGCCGCTTGGCCGGGAAACTGTGTAAAAGAAAAGATTAAAGTAGACGCCCCGTCGTCTCCAACGTCTGCATTGCACGCAACTTGCTCTCCCGGGAACGGTTGATAATGACGGGACCGAAATGCTCATGCATGCTTCCCAGGTTGGACACATGCCTACCGGGCACGCCTGTCTTGTGGCAGCCTGCCTTTGGTGCCAGGTGAGTGTGTGTCGTAAACCGGTGTCCCAAGCCTTATGAAGAGCATAGTACTTGCCCTACATGACGTGATGTTTGTAGAGCCAAGTGTATGGTGCTTGGTTGCTTTTAATCAGATTTCTGGGCTCGATCTGATTGTGAATGGCGCGAGTAGCGAGCGACGGCATAAAAGAATCCATTCTTAGTCACAACAGGTCACAATGCCCATCGATCGAGATCTCTCTGACGTTCAGTCTTTTTGGTCGACACATCATTTGAAAGAAAGGGCGAACCAAGAGATCTTATATACGATCTAAGGGCAGCCTTGTCTCACAGCGACTGGCACGACGTTGACCGGCACGGCACAAGACCTCATGACCGCGGGCTCCACAACATACTTTTGGTGGGAGCCGGACCGGCTTTCAGAACGAAAGCGGTCTTTGTGCGTCTACGTATAAATGACACTGCTGAGTCTAGGCAAACCACATGAGACGTTCGGAAGTCCGCCCCGCCGGCACTGCTGGCGTCTTAGTCCGGGCGAGCGCCATCGAACGGGGCGTGACCTCCACCACATCTACCTGCTTGACCAGTTGCTTACCAGCCAATTCTGGGCTCTCGGCTCTGACAGCCCTGTACTCGAGCTCCGCCAACTAAACCAGCTTGGGCCGGATAGCAGGACCGGCGATCGACCTTCAGTGTTGCACTCTAACATGGGCGTGTGCCTCGTGCACGTTTTCGTGAGACGTTGCCTACCCCTAGCCTAGCATCCGCCGACGGGCAAACCCGGCAGAGTCCCGGCCAGACAAGGACAAGGTAGATGTCGAGGCTTTTTTATTGTTTCCATGTGATCGAATATGACTTGACAAGATGCGAGGAGGTTGTCGTCGGACATATAATGAGGTGAAATGAGGACCGCTGCGCCGCCGAAACCTGTATCGTATCGTCCTGCATGTACCGTGGCTCGCTAGGGAATGTCGGTATTGCTGCAAAAGCACGATTTCTCGGAGACTTTATATTATACATGATGGTTGTCCACGACCAAAAGGAGGGGGGGCGAAACCTTTTCAAGGAGTGTCTTCGTAGTCGGAATAGGAAAGCATGTTGTTTGTTGACGCTCGAATGGTTCCTTCTGTAGCAAGTGAAGGTGCCTTCCTATTTGTAAAATGTATTATTGTCTATTTTGGCTTTGGGAAGGAGCGAACTGTAGACGCCAGAGTAGGAGGAGGTGCAGAGGGCTCTATCCTCGTATGGGCACAAGTCTACAAGTCACTGCATCGCACCCTCAATTCTCCTCAAAACATCTTTGTTTTTCATTATCCAAACTGCAATTTGAGATGTGTTTGTCATGTCTGGCTGGATATGGCGTCTCTCCTTGTCAAAAAACCACCTGGGGTAAGTCCTCCTCGTACAATTCCCATCCTGTTTATTTGCACCACGTCGCGCTACTGTTGGCTCTCATGAAGTATCAAGATAAACCGAACGACACTCGTGGCGCTGGAACTTGCACCTCCAGCTGCATGAGATAGAACGATGGCTCGTGTGCTACTTTACACTTTTGAATTTGAGCAGGATGTGAGAAGCGAGATACGAGATTGAGTGGAACTAAGCTGCGAATACATCCAAATGATCTTACAGAATTCACACATGCATATCTGCAGATTCTCTCGACACGCCTTTCCCACGAGGCTGACCGGCGAAGATCGATTATCGCGTTTCATCGGCGCCAGAGTGGCGAAAAGAACACATGGAAACCCTGCTGCAGCTCCTATCTAGCTGGGTCAGCAACTGTTTATGCGAGAAACAAAGAGCCGGTTTGCCTTGAATCGATGTCTGTGCCAGATGCGGTAAGGCCGGCCCTGGAAGATGACGGAGCAGTATTTTTGGTTGCAGCATTCCGATGTATATCACTGCTATTCTCTGTGGCCTCAAATATCGATTAAAACGACAGCGGAATACTCGGATACAGGCGAGGCAGTGAGGCTAACGGTTTGCAGCGTGCAGCGACACGACATGAGACTCTAAAAGTTAACTGCGAATGGTGCAGCAAAAGGGCAACGAGCGCGCAGCCACTCCACTTCTGTTTGTCCAGACCAAACGTCAGGCTCGCTTCATTCAACGCCTGAGCCTTGCCACCACTGCTGGGCCACCCGAAGACGTGGGGACGAATCCGCCCTGCTTTGTTGTGCTTTCTTCATGTGCTTTGCGCCTTCAATCTAAACTGGCAAAGAATTGGCTCGGGGCTATTACAGCCAGCCGAGCCAATAACCCGTTGGCGGGCCGCGTTTGTTGCAGGGATCCCGGCCCGTCAAACCGTCTGAATACGCTCCAAGAAACAAGACTCGGACACTTTAGCACGCATTTCCCACGTTTTCACTAGTATTTCGATCGGGCTGACGACAAAATATTATGGAGAACGGTTTCGTTTCCCTTTCTGGTGACACTTGCCCCGGGTTTCTCTCGAAGTAAGTATTACGGAGTAATTAGCAGGATCCCCAAGCGACCCCATTACTATGGGTGACGTGAACTCCAAATTTAATGCGAAGAGCCTCCGCTTTTCTTTGGCAAAAACGGAGACTGTCTTCACCAGGTGTTCCACGGAAGCTGTTTGAGCAATTGACGCCCCCACAGCCTCATGGGCACCCTCGTTCGTTTGTCAGTCTAGCGTCCTACGGGATCCGAGCCTGAGAAGGCAGTATGTAACTCGTTAACAATTCGGGGATTTCGAATTTTTTCATCTCCTCAAGGTGGCCAGCTGAAGCGGTTGGGAGAGCGCCGGTGGTCGGCACGGGCTGTGCAGTTGTGCGTATCACTGCATCTGCCGGCTGGTCTTCACCGTCTTTGCATCTCTCACGCGGCTCATGAATAGGTGTTTCCAAGAAACAGAGACGGCTTTTCCGTGTCTCATGCAGATATTATCAGTCCACATTCCTGGCTATACGTCGATTCACTCGTGAAAGCGAGAGCTGCAGGATTCATGTTTTATCTAGCTCTACAATTGAAAGTTGAACTTGCATAGTCCCAGTTCTCCACGCTCATGCACGCGGAAGCCAAACCGTGCTCCGACCAAACCGACTTATTCTCACTCTCGCTTCCCCAATCTCTTGGGCTCAGAAACAACCCCACTGTTGACCCTGGCGCTTTCCCACGTTTGTGGAGTATTTGCTTCTATTTCCGACGTACGAATTCGATTTTGATCAACTTTTCATGGCAGATCCGCTCGCGACGGACGGGCCACACTATGCCCGCGAAGGATTGAACCCTGTCCTCGCCTAATACTGTGGTGGGCTTCCAACCTTTGTCTCGCCGTGTGTTCACATAACATATGAGTACGAAAGCAACACTAAGACGACAGTGGCGTACGACGTCCGTCGTTCAACTAGACTGTAAGTCATAAGTTTGCTCGACAACTTTGACTACGTTCTCTTCCCCCCACCACCCGAGCTAAATTGCCTTGTTCTTAGCTTACATTTTTGCTGATATGCCAGCCCGTCATGAGCAATGCCAAAAGGTTTTGACGCTCAAACGGTCCGTCCCTACCGGCTGGGCTCGCCTGGACAGTGTCAAGCGCACACAGGTACCCAGGTGCCGTTTCTGCCCAGGAAAAGTGCTTACTGGAAACTGGAAAAGAGAAACAATCCCTGACAGCAGTTGACAGCGTAGCACTGGATCCAGGAAAGAGCCTTGAGGCCTCTATGTCGTGCTCAGCTGCTTGCCGGTAAGTACACTGGTTAGTACATGGTAAGAAATGCCACTGTTCTTCACCACCCCTTTTGCCAGTGTATTATTTATAACGACATTGTCTTCAATTTGACTAGGTTTGTTTTTGTACCACTTGAAGTCCACGTTTAGGATCTTGTTTATTCCTGCTTGATTTATTGCTCGAGTCTATTTATTTCTATTTCTACTTCATTCGCGTCCGTTTCAGCTTATTCCATGACACCACCCTTGGACCTGACCTTTCCTAGAAACATACACAGTATTCTGCCAGGGCGGCGCCTTGATCCGGACTTACACACGCCGTCTGTCTTAGCATCGATATCCGGAAAAGACCCAACTCTGCGGACTACATTGCTTGTTTTCTTGTGTGCCTCGCCTGGCCCATTTTGCAGCATTTAGTCGCACAAAGACCGGCGGATCAGTGTCCCACTTCCCCTTTCTCCCTGTTGCAAACGGGTAAATGTCGGCCGGTACAGGTTCCAGAAACGTTGTGATTTCTCCGTCGATATTTTAAGACATTCGGCTTGGAAACAAAGTTATAAGAGACGGCCGACACCTTTTATTTTATCTACTTTATTTTCTTGACGGACCAAGAACCAACAAGCAAGGTTGGCAAGAAACAATCAATAACACTTCGTGTGCTCATCCTGCAGCCATCCCGATCCGGTCCCAACCCGAGTCTTCACTACACCACACGCCATCCTACTGTTGGCGACTCGTCCTGCGGCTCAGGCGTGCCGTGTCTTGTGTCTTGCACTTGTCTTGTCTCGCCATAGCTCGTCGTCTTAGAGGATACCTTATAAGAAACAGGCCGTCTCTTACCTTCGACTCTGCGGCCTTTCCCGTTTTAGTACTCGATATATTTCTGTCTCTATTTTTCAAACTTGAATTTCAAACTACCTCGTGCTCGGCGAAGTTTTCAAGATTGGTTAATACACCTTGTCCGTTCAGCAATTTGTCGAATTTGTCAAGGTCTTCCGCCACATTACACACTCCTACATCATGCCTGCCATGCAGCCACCTATCGCTGGGGAGATCGATTCCGAGAGCATCATCGAGTCCATCACTTCGCCCATGACCAGTGGCGGTCCCAGTATTACGCCAGATACAGAGATCTCGCCGCCAAATAGTCCCTTCACGCCCAGCGGGCACCTGAACAATGCTCGTCAAACAGCCCGGAAGAAGCTGGAAACCCTGACGTTGGACGAGAAGGCATGCAACCCCCAACAAAATATTTTTGATTTTATTTTCCATTATTTTGTTCCAAAAGCCTAAACAAAACATTCAGTAGCTAACATGTATTCCTACAGGTATCTCTTCTCACTGCTGCTGACTTTTGGCGTACAAAGTCGATCCCAGCCAAGGGAATCCCCTCTGCCAAGACCACGGATGGCCCGAACGGCGCCCGTGGCGGCATTTTCGTCGGCGGGACCAAGGCTGCTCTGTTCCCATGCGGCATTTCACTGGCAGCAACGTGGAACAAGGACATTTTGTACAGAGTTGGCCAGCACCTGGGTGACGAGACAAAGGCTAGATCCGCCAACATCTTGCTGGCGCCGACCGTGTGTCTGCATCGTCACCCCCTCGGTGGCCGAAATTTCGAATCGTTCTCCGAGGATCCGTTGTTGACGGGAAAGCTGGCTTCCCAGTACATTCGCGGCCTGCAGCAAAGAGGAGTGGCCGCTGCCATCAAGCGTAGGTTGCACTCGAACGAACCGGTCGTGAGTATTTTAACTTACACTGCTAACTTTGTGCAAACAGACTTTGTCGCCAATGAGCAGGAAACGGAGCGCAACAATGTCAATTCTGTGGTGTCGGAGCGTGCTCTGCGTGAGCTCTACCTTCGTCCCTTTGAGATTGCGGTTCGCGAGGCCTCACCTTGGGCTGTCATGTCTTCATACAACTTAATTAATGGTGCTCATGCTGATATGAACCGTCACACTTTGGGTGATATTCTTCGCGGCGAATGGGGATTTGACGGGTAAGGCTCCCCTACTTTTATGCGGATTACTTTGTCTCCGTTTCTGTCTCCGTTTCTGTCTCTATTTTCTGTTTCCATTTTCTGACAACGTCTAGGACGGTAATCTCCGATTGGGATGGCGTGAACTCCACTGCCGAGTCCATCAAGGCCGGCTGCGACATCGAGTTCCCGTTCTCAATCAAGTGGCGTTTTCAAAAGGTGCTTAAGGCGATTGAGGACGGCAGTCTCACTGTTGCCGACGTAGACCGGGCCGCCGAAAATGCACTTACTCTTATCACCCGCGTCAAGGGCGACGATATGTCGGAGGAAGCCCCCGAACGGGAAGATGATCGCGCAGAGACGCGCGAGCTAATTCGCGAAGCCGGTGTGCAGGGCCTTACACTGCTCAAGAACGAGACGTCGATTTTGCCCATTGATCAGCGTACCACCAAGCTGGCCGTCATCGGGCCCAACGCCAACCGAGCCATCGCTGGTGGTGGCGGCAGCGCCAGCCTCAACCCCTACTACACGACCATCCCGCTCGAGAGCATCCGCCGTGCCGTGAAGGAGGCTGGGGGCCAAAACGAGGTGGCATATGCTGTCGGGTGTCACACGAACAAGTGGCTGCCGGTAGCCTCGCCGTTCTGCAGCAACCGCGATGGATCGCAGGGCGTCACCATCGACTGGTTCAGCGGCGACAAATTCGAAGGCAGCCCCGTGGTGACTGAAAAGCGCAAAAATACCGACCTGTTCCTTTGGGATTCGGCGCCCGTGTCCCGTGTCGGCCCACATTGGTCGGCCATTGCGACGACGTATCTGACGCCGATATCGACGGGCAAACACACCATTAGCTTCATGAGTGTCGGACCCGGTCGACTCTACGTGGACGGAAAGGAAGTGATGGACCTGTGGGACTGGACCGAGGAGGGCGAGGCCATGTTCGACGGTTCGATCGACTACCTTGTCGATGTGGACATGCAGGCTGGCCAGGCTGTGGAGCTGAAGGTCCGGATGACCAACGAGCTGCGGCCGATCAGCAAACAGAAGAAAACCGGCGCCACGCACAAATACGGCGGCTGCCGCATCGGCTTCAAGGAGCAGGACCAGGTTGACTACGTACAAGAAGCCGTGGACGCGGCCCGTGCCGCCGATGTTGCTGTCGTCATTGTTGGCATTGATGCCGAGTGGGAGTCGGAAGGTTATGACCGGCAGACGATGGACCTCCCCGTCGACCGCAACCAAGACCGGCTCATTGAGGCTGTGCTCGCCGCCAACCCCAATACCGTTGTAGTCAACCAGTCCGGCTCGCCGGTGGCGATGCCGTGGGCTGACAAGGTCCCGACAATCTTGCAGGCCTGGTACCAAGGACAGGAAGCCAGCAATGCGCTGGCAGATGTTCTCTTTGGCAAGAAGAATCCCAGCGGAAAGCTGCCGGTACGTTTTGGCTGGACGAGTGCAGGCCCGCATTGTCTCGAAACTCTTTGCTAACAACACCACACAGTGCACATTCCCGCGGAAGCTGGAAGACGCCCCGGCGTACCACAACTGGCCCGGTGAGAACCTCGAGGTCATCTACGGCGAGGGCCTGTACATTGGCTACCGCCACTACGAGCGTGCCAAGATCGCACCGCTCTTCCCTTTTGGCCACGGCCTGTCATACACCCAGTTCGAGTACGGCCGTCCGTCGATCAACAAGAAGGTGCTGTCTCCCGAGTCCGGCAGCACGGTCGAGATCACCCTCGCCATCAGCAACATTGGCGACGTCGAGGGTGCTGAGACTGTCCAGGTGTACGTGCACGACGAGAAGTCGCGCCTCGCGCGGCCTGAGAAGGAGCTCGTGGCTTTTGAGAAGGTGTCCCTGGAGCCCGGCGAGACCCAACACATTACCCTGTCTCTGGACAAGCACGCCGTGGGCTACTACGACACGGCGATCGGTCAGTGGATTGCCGAGGAGGGCCGTTTCAACGTGCTCATCGGCGCGTCGTCGGCGGACATCCGGCGCAGCATCTCGTTTTCTGTGGAGGAGTCGTTCACGTGGGTGTTCTAGGCTGAGGCTGCCTGGTCCTAAGATACGATCTCCCTGTTTATCGGCCTTTTTGGCCTTTATTCTGCATCTGTATGTCTTTTACTTCTTTACTTTTTTTTTCTTTTTCTCCGGATGTCTTCTCCCTACTTTCCGACAAAGCATTAGTTAGACGCGACCGAGTCGCAGTATTTTTGTTACAGTTTTTGTGACCAATTTTGAATTCGTCCATTCTATTAAGTTGATTACCATCTGTTTCCCTGGTTATATCCATTATGTGCGTTGACGTGAAATGTTCGTGGTAAGGTGGCTTGAATCTTGTAAGAGTATTGGTCCCACGCGGCATCCACAAGCCGCCCCTTTATGCATGTCGTTAGCAGTTGCCCGATCTGGGGCAGAGCAATCTGCGGTGCATTTAGGCTTGCTTCCAGCCACATGTCTAGGCCCTGAGGCCCTGTTTTCGAGGGGGTGGCGCCTCCTGCCAGAGTGCGCTAGTCCCTACTCGGCCAGTACGACCGCAGTTGGTTGGCACCTTCCCAGTCTTCGTGTTCTTCTGCTTTTCAAGCCGTCAAAAAACAGCAACTGCGACGTGCATAAGCTCCCTGGCTCTTCCCCTATTGGAACAAGCTACGTAGTCCGTTAGCGTCTTTCCAACGGAAACCCACGACTCGACCAAACGGCGTGGCAATACATTCGTACGAACCTCCACAAACAGGAACACAAACGGACATCTCGTTTGAGCATCCCCAAAAAGCGTCAACGAAACAAAGGGGCTTGTATCGCGCAGCAACAACTCCTCCACCTGGCGACCCTCACCGTCTCTCCGACAGTTTTCCTCCCTCCCTCGCCGTTCTCCATCGAAAGGGAGAAAATCGACCTCGCTCACAAGCTCTCTTGTCCCCAATTCTTCCTCGCGTCAGACGAACTGGGAATCAACCACGACAAATCAGGCACAGGCAAGAAGGTGATGGCTGCCGCATGCCATGGCGACGCCTTATAGCAACGGCTACATGCCATCATCCGGGCCGAGACGCGGGCCCGGGAACCGCCACTCTGACTTCGACCCCAACGCCTCCGATGACGACCTCGGCGCCCTCGTCCTCAACGTCCTACGGTTGCTCTGGAACTACAGCATCCGCCGCATTTTCGGTGCCGCTGTCAGCATAGGCAGCGTGCTGCTTACAGGCACGCGCGCCAGCACTCTCTTGCGGGACAGCCGGCGACGGCGACCACGCCCACAACCGCTCGCCATCATAGCAGCGGAGACGTTACTCCGGCTGGTGCGGCACAGCTTGGCGCCGCAGCGCATCTTCAGCGTGCCGCACTTTCTCGTTGCCTTTTGGGTGCTTGTGCTGCTCTGGGGCGAGCGTGGCAACTTCCACGCCAAGGTGATGCATTGCCATTGGGACCACTGGGAGAAGTGGCCCGCCGGCGCCGAGCCGCATCACATGGTCTTCGTCGCCGATCCCCAGCTCATCGACGCCCACACCTACCCGGGCCGCCCATGGCCGCTGAGCTCACTGACGGTGATGCTTACGGACAACTACATGCGGCGGTCGTATCGCGAGCTGCAGGAGCAGCTGCAGCCCGACACCGTGTTCTTTTTGGGCGACCTTTTCGACGGAGGCCGCGAGTGGCGGCCGGCGCACGGCAGCTTCCAAGACCCGTCCTGGACCAGCCGGCCGGACCGCGAGAAGGGCTACGCTAAAACGTGGCGCAAAAAGTACGACGAGGACTACTGGCTGAAGGAGTATGCCCGTTTCGGCGACATATTCCTGGATCCGTGGACGCTGGGGGGCACCGACCCGGGTCCGGGCCAGCGCGGCCGTCGCGTGATCGCCAGCTTACCGGGCAACCACGACCTCGGCTTTGGGTCGGAGGTGCAGCTCTCTGTGCGGAACCGTTTTCAGAGCTACTTTGGCGAGGGCAACCGCGTCGATGTCATTGGCAACCACACCTTTGTATCAGTCGACACCGTCTCGCTCAGTGCCGACACGTCGGACCGCGCAGGCGAGAGCGACGTGCAGTCCATCTACAAGCCGATTGAGGAGTTCTTGAGCAACGTGGCTTGGGAGAAGACGCGGGCTGTGTCCCGTGAGCTGCGGTTCCAGCGCGGCACCGGCGAGGAGGTGTCGTACCCGCATCGCGTCGAGGACCTGAACGCGGCCGAGTTCGACACGGCCGCTCTCGCCAAGGCGCAGGGTGCAGGCGACGCGCTGCAGGCCGACCTGCCGACGGTTTTGCTCACACATGTGCCGCTCTACCGGCCGCCCGGCACACCGTGCGGCCCGCATCGTGAGCACTGGCCCGTTACCAAGCCGCCCGCCGACGACCCGAACACGCCTGTGTTCCCGGATCACCGCAACGCCATACCGGTGTCGCGTGGATACCAGTACCAAAATGTGCTGAGCGAGAGCGACTCTTTCAAACTCATCAAGTCCATTGGCAATGTCAAACACGCTTTTTCTGGCGACGACCACGACTACTGCGAGGTTGTGCACGACGATGTGCAGGAGAAAGTAAAGGAGATCACGGTCAAGTCTTTCAGCATGGCCATGGGCGTGCCGACGCCCGGCTTTCTCATGCTTAGTCTGTACAACCCGATCGATGCCAAGGGCAACCCACTGGCTACGGTCGGCGCGCCACCAGGCGAGGTTGCGCCGCCCACGATGCAGACCCATCTGTGCCTGCTGCCCAACCAATTGAGCACTTTTGCGCGCTACGGCGGCATGGCTGTCGTATCCATCGTGCTGCTCGCCATCTACGCCGTGCTGATCCAGGTCCTCCACCTGCCCGTGTTTGCCTTTGACCCGCTGGCGCAGGATGCGAATTCAACCTCGTCCAACATGCCGTCGTCGGTGCTGCCAATGTTTAGCAAGGCCAAGGTCGAGGACGACGAGTACGGCCGCAGCCGTGGTGGTGGCGCCGGCGCCGCGGCTGCGGCTGGCGGCAGTGGTTACGGGGCCGATGCCGTGAGCACCAACAGCCAAAAGGGCGCCAGTGACTCATCCAGCTTCGTCTCGTTCCGCGCCGTGCCGGCCACCTACTCGCGGGGACGCAGCTACTCGAACCAGTACCCGAACCAGCAACAAGGCCAGCCCGCTAGTCATGGCCGCCACCAAAAGGGCCGGCGCAACGGCCACGCCGCCAAGACGTCCTCGCCCGCCAACAACTACGATATGCGCGGCGGACCCAAGATCCAGATCGCCCGTGACACCGACGACTCCTCGTCCGACGACTCTGCGTACAACAACGATCTGCTAACTGACGACTACATGGTCGACGTGAACCTCGGCGGCGGCAGCAGCCGTTGGCAGCCGGCCGCCCGTCGCGGCGTGTTTGGCCTGAGCATGGCCGCCGTCTCGGGCGTCCGACGGTTTGTCGTGGGCACGCTGGGCCTGCGAAGTGGTGGTGGCTTGGGCGGTGGTCGGCGACGGCGCGGCGGTGGGGGTGTCGGTGGCAGTCTGAGCAGTCTCCTGGGACTCGGTGGCGGCGTCCTCGGGCGCAGCGGCAGTGGTGCCAGCAGCAGTTCGGCCGCGGCCGCACGGCGACGCCGCAGTGGCCGCTCATCCCAGCAGCGGCTTTTGCAGCTCGCTGGCTGGGAGTTTTATGCCATGGCCTTCCGAGTCGCCTGGATGGTACTTGCTTACTGGGCCTGGCTTAACCACAAGGGGTAGACAGAGGGCGTGTCTTCCTCCTTGCTGTACATTTTTGGTATTATATATATTTTGGCATTGACGACAAAAGCACGGCGCCGATGCTTTCTCGACCGCGTACCGAGAAAGCATGACATGCCACTGGCCCATGAGATACACAGCGGCAAGCATGACCCTAGACGCTGCATTGGACACACAAAATAGTGTATATCTGTAATGTCCCGGGAACGGGTTTTGTTTTTGCATTTTTTTTTGCTTGTGGCACTATCAAACCACTTTTTCTCTCGTCCAAACGTATCTTTTTTTGCTACTCAAAATAATATACAGGGTCTAAGGATTACCTATTTCTCGACGATGCCACTTTTTATCTGTTGTTTATTGCATCGCGTTGCCTTAGGATTCCCGCAGTCGCTCATTTTGCTCCGTACGTCTCCGTTTTATTTCTAATTTATTTACTCGTATAGGTATCTGCAAGTCTGTCTTACCCGGCATGCTTTCGATAATACTCCGATGATGGACACGCTGTTTCCCACATCTCCACCAAGCTTCAGTATTCGCATCCGGACGTCATTTCATGATCAGTGCCAATGATGAGCGGCGGACGTTTCGTCGCCTAGGTCCAGTCGAGGCAACCCGCTCTAGGCCCATTGACCACGATGTTCCGTGTTAATGGTATGCTGCGCTTCACATGACTGCGTCTATTGTAGCGCCCTTGGGGTGGTTCCTGTTTTTCCATGGTGGGTTTGTCATGTTAGATCGTAAAGCGAAGTTGGCGGTTTCTCTTTTCTTTTTTTCCTTTTCTTTTCTTTCTTCTTTGTTTTTTCAAACAATAATGATAAAAAGGGGCCTGGGTATAGAATATAAAACAATTCAAAGGCTGAAATCGACATAAATTACATAACAACAAACATGGCGTATGTGAGCGTGACGAATGAGCAACGATTCTGACCAAACACAACGAGGACACAGCCTACACTTGCTGACCGTCCAAAATGCCATGAAAAATGGCATAGTTGGTCGTCTTTGGTTGCGTGCCCAGGTCCATCTGCCCGCTCTGGGAGAGCTGGCCGTCGTATACGGCAAAGACAATGTCCTGCCACCAGTGACCAGCGTCGGTAAATTCCGGTTCCCGCAGAACCTCGAGCCAGAATTGTGCGACCTCCTCGGGCGGGTTGGCGTAGACGCCGCAGCCAAGAGCGCCGAGAACGAGCTGGCGGTGCCTGGCTTGGGCTGCAGCGCGCAAGATCAGACGCATCTTGAGCTTGGTGAGGAAGCGGTCGGTTTCGTAGGCAAAGAGAGTCTTCTCACCACCCGGCTCCTGGCGGGGCGGTGGTCTCGGTGGCGAAGAGCGTGTCTCGGGGCGTGTCG